TAATTTTCCAAGTAGGTAAGGTAGAATTATTGTTCTTGCACGCGGAACTTCCAACCAAAATGCTGTATCAATGTATAAAGTTTGAAGAAAATCTATGAGGTACTTTGAAGTAAATCTGACAAAGGGGAATAACTGTAAAGGTGGGCAAGGTTAGGTAGAGTTATTGTTCTTGCACACTTCTGTTCCTACTATAGCAGCATCACCGTCAAAATGACTGTATCAATAGCTCGATTTTTTTCTTAGGAAAAGTAAAATTAAAATGGATATCGACTTCATTAATTAGAAATATGTATATCATTAGTAAATTTGGTGGAAGCGGCGGCATTTGACTTTTTCAACATTGTTCCGAGATGCATGCAATTGCAAATGAAGAAACTGTACCAAAGAATTTGCAAAATTGTTTATTCAAATGCAAACTAGAGCTATGGGCCTTTGAAAGTGACTCCTCCAATTATGGTCACCAATACATGTAATAGGTTTTGAGAAAATTCATTAAAAAATTGAAGATTTGTGATGTATGCAGTCTTAAAACAACAAGTTCACAAATGACCGTAATTCAGATAAGACGCTTTGATCTGATATTATCCCCTACCGCTAATCCCCCCCTTTTTCATAATACCTCTATAGTATTAGTTATACTATAGATAATAGAGGTATAATGAAAATTGTGTAATAGTGTCATATTATTGTTGTTATGAATACTAAATGTGGAAGTTGACTTGAAATGATATTTTTTGGTTGTAACTGGGACTGAAGGGAGGGGGAGGGGGGGGGGTTAGCGGTAGAGGTTGATATCAGATCAAAGCGTCTTATATTATATTATGCTGTACAAGACGTTCAACGTGAAACATGAACCAGGGTAACGACGCTGACGCACTGGCGATTTAATAGTCCACTGTTCTTCGAATAGTCGAGCTAAAATAAAGAAGAGGGCTAAAAAAAAGAAAGCTAATACGGCTCAATATGGTTCACATGAGATCCATTCATTGTTAAAAAGGTAATATCTTTTCAAAGTAGAAGTTATTTGGTAGGGCCAATTGGATAAGGTCCAGTCATGCAATTCAGTAGCCGTCTGCGGGCAAATAACATGTAAAACATCTATTTAAGCTCTGTGTCACACAAGATTAAAACTTATTTTCCTCTATTTGCACGGCACCCTCTTTGCAAAATCTAAATCATAAATTATAAGTTTATATATGGCGGTACTAATAGCAGCATGATTTGTAATTTTTTAGACGGCAATAAGGTGATAATTTACGCCAAATATCTAAGGTGTTGCCATCGTAGTTTGCTCCTATTTGTAAAGTAACGAAAGATACCCCCGGGTAATGTTTCACATTGCTTTTAGGGGTCTCACTAGATAATAGTACCGTACCTCATACATTCATGTCTGTGCTATGTGATTTTAGACAAGCAGTTTTAAATATGCTTTCCTACTCATTAACTAAGTGACCCACAGAGAGACCAAATCTGACGACATGAACATGATTGTGTTGCATTTGATAAAACAAACTCAAAATTAATTATACATGTTGTTAATACTATTATAAAATGTTGCTTGAAAATAATGTTGATAAAGTTCCAAGTGATTTATAATGAAAACTTATATGACGAGTTATAAATAGTTTCAGAGAAGAAGACGATTGTTAACGCATGACGACGGACGCCGGAGCATCCCCCTTTGATACTAATAGCTCACACTGAACCTTCGGTTCTGGTGAGCAAAACAGTGGTTACTATACAGTAAACAATGTATTCATATCATAACTTGAGCCCCCGCCGGGCGGGGGCAATGCTTGTCTTTCTGTTTTAACCTTTTCTAACAGCAAGCACATACATGGTTTAAACAACTCTTTAAAAAGAAAATTCAAGAAACAAAATTAAATTAACTTATTTTTCTTAAGGTCTGTCTTGTCACTATTCTTGTTTTGTCAAAGTATGAATCATTTCCATCAGTTAAGAAAATATCAGCAGATTCAATCATTTGACGGTCAAGGTCATTTAGAGGTCAAGGTCATATCTGAATTATTCAACAAATTTGTTTGGTCACAAGTGTTGTTTTGTCCAAATATAAAACAAATCCGTACATAAAATAATTATGACAACTTTTAAAACCAAAATTTAATAATTTGACCTTGACAGTCAGGGTCATTTAAAGCTCAAGGTCGAGGTAAGTTCAGCTGTTTAGAAGGATTTGTTTAAAAGCTTGTTTTGTCCAAGTATGAATATAATACAGTGATTAATTACCGAGTGACAGCCAATTAAAGCAATAATCAGATAAATTCAATAATTTGACCTTCAAGGTCAATGTCAAACATTTGAGTTTGAAATACATGACCTAAAGATATGTCTAAATGTGAAGTTAATCCATTTACAAGAGGGCCATGATGGCCCTGAAATCGCTCCCCTGAATATAAAAACTTTTCATGACAAGGAACAAGTAATAATATTGTAAACTATAAACAAAAGCAGATATAAAATCTAAATCTTAAACTGGTATCACAAAGTTCATATCTGTATCTGAAATAGTGTATGTGTAAAAGCATTACTGGTTGCTACTGCTAAGGGTAAACAACAGTTCCAAAAGATTTGCACATATAAGGAAAATCAATGATCCCAAAGGGCTGGGCCAATTTAGACCCCAGGGCTTTTATTTGAACAAACTTGGTAGACACTCACTAGAAGATGTTTCATTCTAAATATTTAAGCTCTAGCTCTTTGAGTTTATTAAGAGAAGATTTTTAAGTTTTTACTATATACATATAAGGAAAAAATGACTGCCTGGGACTGGGCCAATTTTGACCCCAGAGCTTTAATTTGAACAAACTTGGTAGACATCCATTAGGAGATGTTTTATGCTGAATATCCAAGTTCTAGCTCTTTGGGTTTTTAAAAGAAGATCTTTAAGTTTCTACTTTATACATATAAGGATAATCATCAACCCATTGGGGTGTGCCAAATTTGACCCCAGGGCTTTTATTCGAACAAACTTGGTAGACACCCACTAGAAGGTGTCTGAGGCTTAATATCTAAGCTATAGCTTTTTGTGTTTTTTAAAAGAAGATTTTTTAAGCTTTTACTTTATACATAATTATAAGGATATCAATGACCCCAGGGTAGGGCCAATTTTGACCTCAGGGCTTATATTTGAACAAACTTGGTTGACACTCACTAGAAGATGTTTCATGCGTAATATCTAAGCTCTAGCTATTTGAGTTATTTAAAAGAAGATTTTATAAGTTTTTTTTCTTTCAGTTGCCATGGCAACCGGAATTGAATTCTTTGAGGTGGCCACCAAAGGAACATTCCTGTGAAGTTTGGATGAAATTGGCACTGTGGTTTATGAGGAGATGTTGTTTAAAGTAAGTTTATGGACGGACGAACGAAGGACGGACGTGTGCCGGAGGAATCGTGATCACAAAAGCTCACCTTGTCACTTTGTGACAGGTGAGCTAAAAACACCTTTTGTATTCAAATGCCATAACTGGGCCAAAAATCATTCAGTGGAAAACCTGTGTTATATGCACAAGCACTTAAGCTACCAATCCTGTAAAGTTTCATTGAAATTGCATTAGTGGTATAAGAGGAGTAGTCCAGAGAAACTTTACTAACACCTATTTCATTCAAGAACCATAACTCAGCAAAAAATCTGATGATATGCACTAATTTACTTTGCATTGATCATTCCTGTAAAGTTTTGTTGAAATTGCACCAGAACTTTTTCTGGAGTTGTCCTGGCAAAGTTTGTGATGGAGGGACAAATGGATGAACAGATAACAGCGAAGTGATCCATAGATGACACAAAAATACAAACTTATTTAATAAATTCTCTGGGTATATGAACATATATTTCAGTTGTGTTCTTCAATACAACCAATGCAGGTGACAGCTAGATGACAAAACAGAACTTACATATAAAACTCAACTCAGCTTTATTATACAATCAATATCTACATTTAAATTCAATTTCATTGGCTATTAACATGATTATTCAACATTACGAAAAATGGTCATGATAAGATTAAGTAAGATTAACATTTTGTACAAAATGTATGGTACATTGTACAAATTAACAATAATCAAAACATGACCTACCAGAGGAATCTAATACAAAGTAATTAAAGATCAATCTAAGAAAAAAATGTATTACAAATACATACATGTATAATTGCAATATCAAGATAAAAACTAAAATGACCAATAAATTATTGCCCAATAAAAGTCTCCAAATAGAATAGTGTAATATAGATTATATATTCGCAAAAAAAGTAAAATAAAGAGGAATCCTAAATGATTCTAAAATCTTTTAAACAACAGAGATCTATAATTATACATTATTTTATAATACACAAAACAATAAATATATTGTCAACAGTTCAGTCACAAGTGTCATGTATATAAAATACATTCTTTACAATTTCCTATATTTTCCCTTTATGAAATCTTTTAGAATTGATAATTGTCCAATGTTCATTCATTCATGCTTGTTGACAATAGAGACTGTATAGCTTAATGCATGGTCTATCTAGTACCAAAATTGTTTCAATCATGACTCAAGCCTCAAAACCTGCCAAGCTGAGTCTATATTAAGTTCTAAATACCACAATATTAAACACAGCATCTTCTGACAACCGTGTGTTAGCTTAATAAAATGAGGTATTTTAAGTTAACAAAAAAAACATCATGTCTCTCTTAACACAAAAACAGGCACCAACCACTTAAAAAAGACTGTATATATTTTCTATATTCTGCTTTATGTTTAAGACTAAATAAGAATTTTTCAATCATTTTGATAACAGAGCAAGTGTGGAATCAAGTTAACATCAATGATCTCTGTTCTTACAGGTCACTTCTATAACCTATATTATCATTTAATGTTCCTGTTTTACAGTTACTAGGTCTCTTCTAAACTTATTTCATAACATATGTATCACAATGAATGAAGTACATGCTTTGAATAAAACAGTTTCTTTGAAGAGAATTATATTTTCTTTGAAGAGAATTATATTAAGTTTTTCTTAAAAACAAGCTTGAAAGTCTACATGAAGATTTTATTTCCGTGTTGTCTGATTCATTCTTTCTGAGCCTCTAAAAGTTTTAATTCTTTCCTTGCTTTTATATTTTCAACTTCCATCTCCTCAGAAAAAGATGTGGCTCCTAATGAAGCAACAGTTAGGCAAGAAAAGAAGATACGAAAGTTTAACATGTAGGAGGACATTAACGCGTCTTTCTTTCCCGACACTACTCCTGCACCTACAAGTGCTGTTAACGTCAAAAAGGCACCTGAAAGAGAAGAAAAATCAGTATAAATAATGAAAATGAGTACATATATTTGTATACATGTATTTTGTAGTATATATATATACCATATATGAGCCGCGTCACGACAAAACCAACATAGTGCGTACGCTTACAAACTCTGTAACAAGTAAAGAAACTGATAGCAAACAGCATGGATCCTGATCAGATTGCGCAGATGCGCAGGCTGGTCTGGATCCATGCTGGTCGCAAACCCATTATGTTGGTTTTGTCATGACGCGGCTCATATGTTTTTATAATTATATGCTTATTCTACTTAACAAAACATCTAATAAGCTTCTATTTAGTATTTACTTTAAGTCCAGCCTTATTAATTCTGAATAATTCCAAAAAATCAAGTGACCACAGGTACAGTTAATGTTGAATTGTAAACTAAACACTTACTATAATAATACTTAATTAATTTTATCATTGTGACAATTTTCTATGACTGGTTTTGAGTAGATAACATGAGAGCAATAACGTCTACGTTGTATTCTACAGTATTCACTGCATTTACATTACAATGTGCATGCATGCATTTGTTTGCAATGAAATATATTTGAAAAATCCTCATGTGATTTACATGTTCACCAAGTTGTTATAGTTATATAAATTATACTGTAAATAAATATTTCATATTTTGTTATTCTCAAGATGTATCTGTGTAGGTGGTAAATTTACTTCAGTAAATTAAATGACAGTAACATGATCAATTTCTGTTCTTAAAAGTTAGATACAGAGAAGAGAACAATTTATTTCAAAAATAATATAGTATCAAAACAAACATTTAGTTCATACAAATTTATTTTAGTTTGTGTTGGAAGCTATACATTTTAATATTGAAACACTCTCGAAAACAAACATTCAATTTTATCGTTTCTTAATTTGATGATATTAAGAACGTTTTTTTTAAATTAAATAGATTGTTTTAAAGTGAGACGAATAAGAATAATTTTGAGGTGATTGATCACTAAAGTGGGACGGGTCATTATGGGGGGAGGCGATTGTTATTAATTCAAAACTTGTATCTTAACACCTGTAATGCATCATTATTGTCGCGAATTGTGGTTGAAAAAGCTTACATTCCTTTAAAATTGTGACAGAAATTATTACACTTTATTTGTTGGGGACCAGACAGCTACCAAACCTGTATTGATATCTACAATGTTAATATCTCTTCGTAACATAATTTCAAACAAGGAACATCGCAATGCGATGCAACCAGGTTTTCAGCAAAATATTTCACAGAAGCTTTGTCATGAAGGGGCATTTGTTTTTAATTGAACTTTTAGGAGGAATTATGGCTTTTTTAATATTCCTCAAACAAAAATGATGGAGAAATTTTATGTTGTCTATTCGCCTTTTTTTCCCAAATGTTTTAGAAAGGTAAACAGTACTTTATTTTTGCTTAATTTTTGCATTTTTGCATCTCTTGTCATTTTCTTTTGTCAACAATATTGGTGTGTGGTGTTTTGTTCGATATCAAGAAAAGTATGTACACAATTTTAAAAAAATACTTGAATGATGTCTTGGAAGAAACATGGGAATTTAGTGAGCGCCAGGGCACTTGATGACAAAGCTTCTGTGAAAGTTTGGTCAAAATCCATTGAGAAATGTAGGAGAAGTTGCGCACTGTAGAATTGTTCACTATATATTCTGTATAAGGAAAAAATAAATACTAAGGGCCATAATTCGGTCAAATATTATCCAATCAAAAAAACCCCGACAATATGTGCCAGGCACTTGATAACAAAGCTTCTAAGGAAGTTTGGTCAAAATCCGTTGAGAAATGTAGGAGGAGTTGAGCACAGAAAGAAATTGTTCTCTATATATTCTGTATAAGGAAAAAATATACAAACGGCCATTATTCGGTCAAATATTATCCAATCACAAAAACCCGACAATATGTGCCAGGCACTTGATAACAAAGCTTCTAAGAAAGTTTGGTCAAAATCCGTTGAGAAATGTAGGAGGAGTTGCGCACAGAAGAAATTGTTCACTATATATTCTATATAAGGAAAAAAACAAAGGGCCATAATTAGGTAAAAAAACACCAATTGCAAAACCCTGGCAATATGTGTCAGGGCACTTGATGACAAAGCTTCTGAGAAAGTTTGGTCAAAATCCGTTGAGAAATGTAGGAGAAGTTGCACACAGAAGAAATTGTTCACTATATATTTTATATAAGGAAAAAAAACAAAGGGCCATAATTAGGTCAAATATTATCTAATCGCAAAACCCCGACAATATGCGCCAGGGCACTTGATGACAAAGCTTCTGTGAAAGTTTGGTCAAAATCCGTTGAGAAAATGTAGGAGGAGTTGCGCACAGAAGAAATTGTTCACTATATATTCTATATAAGGAAAAAAAACAAAGGGCCATAATTAGGTCAAATATATACCAATTGCAAAACCCTGGCAATATGTGTCAGGGCACTTGATGACAAAGCTTCTGAGGAAGTTTGGTCAAAATCCGTTGAGAAATGTAGGAGGAGTTGCGCACAGAAGAAATTGTTCACTATATTTTTATATAAGGAAAAAAAACAAAGGGCCATAATTAGGTCAAATATTATCTAATCGCAAAACCCGACAATATGCGCCAGGGCACTTGATGACAAAGCTTCTGTGAAAGTTTGGTCAAAATCCGTTGAGAAATGTAGGAGGAGTTGCGCACAGAAGAAATTGTTTACGCCCGCCCGTCCGCCCATCCGCCCGCCCGCCCGCCGACATACCTCAATCTAATAACCAGTTTTTTCCTTCGGAAAACCTGGTTAACAATACGTACATGTACACTGCCAACCTTTTCAAATTTCTGTTTGTAAATGATCGTACTCCTGAATACTTTTACAGGGCTCATCCTGGGGGGAAATTTTAGGGAGAAGGGAAACAACCCAATGTGTATGCATTAACATGCATGGCTATATACATACTTTAACTATAATATAAACACAATTAATCTATATTATCAGCTATTTATAAGCTTTCTCTAAATATTTGTTTATATATTTTCATACATGTAGATTTATTGATAATAATGTGTAAGGAAAAATATGATGAATAAATTAATTTTTATATTTTTACTTTCCTCACTTTTAATAGAAGATAAAGTTACATTGAATATTGATAAATAAAAGCTCTCTATTGTTCTGATTACAGAAATTTCTTTTATGATCTTGTATGTTGTAATGTCACATTTATCAGAATCTGCATATAATTATGCTTTCAAACATCGAAGAATATGAAAAATATGTACTGCAAACATTTGTGCACATAATATTTGATCACTAAAATTTATACATTCATATCTTATTGAAAAATTTGACTGAGAAATTATAGAAAATAAATTTCTAATTACCTCCCTTTATTTTCATGAAATATTAAACTCGGTAATATCTTTATAAATAATGCTTTTTGAAATTTTCAATATTGATAAATCTTAATCTGAGTGTCATATTTATCATTTTATGACATTAAAACAAATATATATATTGAAACAATAAGAACACTTCTTTCCTGACAAATTTTGTTGTTATATACATGTACACATGATATACGACCGATACGTAGCATGCCGATCAGGATTGATCAGGATTCGTAGTTTTGCCCACGTGCGTAAGCTGTGTCAAATTTGGCATTTCAATGCCAAACACTCTCACTGTCTACAACGAATTGGCTTTCTTAAATTTTCGCGTAGGTGTATCAGAATCAGTAACTTTCTTTTACTGCTAAGTTTGGGCATTTCGCCCTGTAGCCATGACATGAGCGACATAACAATACTCTTTGGGAATTAAGATTTTATCGGCGATGTTGACTTCTCTTTGATCAATTGGGAGAGCGAAATAGAAATATACACGGCGAAGTTTTCGCCTGAATCGCCCTTCCGGATGAGCCCTGCTTTTATAATAATTTACTCCTTGATTTTTTTATTAACTAAGCAATCTAAACAATCTATATCCAGTGTCTATTCTAGGACGAGCGATTGCGATTCACACTAGTATTTCACAGATCGCGCACAATTCATAATCATGTGCGTGAAAATCGCGCATCTATAAAAAAAGTTAATAAAATCGTAAAACTTCCATCCCTCATTATATTTGGGTGTTTTGTTTACATTTACACCGGAAACCGAAGGGAGTTAACTGTAAGCTAATTATAATAATTTAGTACCGTATGGTACTGGTAACTTGAGTTGACGGAAATACCGACCGGAACTAGTGTGCTATGTCTGACAGTTGGGCGCCATTTTAGTGTAGTAAATAATCAAGAAAAATGAGGCAATTCCTAGCTTGGCTACGATCTAGACGTGAAAGATAGGTCGATTGTTTGTATTGTCATACCCTTTATAATCAATTGCGACAGTTCTATAATAATCTGTTTTCATTTAAAAATTAAGGGGGGACAACTTCTGCTGCCTTAAATAAATATTTTCGTTTTAATTATTTCATCGGTTGAAAGTCTCAGTGTAAACTTAATGCAGACGATTTAATATTAGCAGTTTATATTGGCACCCCTTGATTTTGAAAATCGCCCCCTTTTTTGAAATAGAGGGGGAAAATCACCCCTATTTTTGAATTCCTAAAATAGACACTGTATATCATAATATAATTTTTTAAAAAGAGTGCCAAGTTCGTATAGGGCCGAGTTGACCCTATACCATACTGTAGTGGTCGGGGACCATTAACCGTAGTCCTATAAAAATGACGTCGCTTTGAGATATTTTTGCTTCTGGGCAAAGCAACCACTTAAACTATAACAAGCCAATTTTTAAACAATAAACGTCTCTACAGACTTATACAGTGTTATCTGGCCATTATTTACAGAATTATACATATGCTAACAATACGTCTACTTACATATACTTGAAGCAAGATTGTTTTTAATTCCTGGAATAATCATTGCCTTAACGATTCCTTTTTGTGCGACATCATATTCACCTTTAGTGTCATACAAGGTTGGTCTAAACCCCACTTCTCGACGAGGGGGGTCTAAAAATTCATCTTCTATGCTTTCTTTCTTATCAGATAATTTGACTGGAGCCATTTCCTAGTTATTTTTGTGAAAGTTCTTTTTCAACAGTTTATTTACACCTGCTTATAGATGTGTTTACATCTGCATAAATTCTTGATTATGAAACGGTCTAATTAATCTTGCTTGATTGTTATTCAAGCTGTCATATCGGGAGAACAAGTTCGGACAGGTAGACTAAAACACGAAAGGAGCCATAAGGCAAAGGGAACGGAAGGAAATCTATAATGGAAGGTCCGAATCATAATGTGCATCTATGTATCATGAATCTTTTTTTTGCAATAATAGTTATTCACATTATTTCTTGAGTAGAAAAGATTAATGATGAAAAATTAGTGCCAAATAACCAATAATAAAAACATTTGCTTGGTTGGCCCAACACATAATGCCAACGTTGGCCCAATGTTAGCTTAAGGTCTTCAGCGTACCCGTTTATATATATGACATGACGTGAAAAACAAAAATGTTAAAAAGCGGCTTATAAAGTTTTGGAAGCCAGAACTAGCCCAATGTCAATTTGCTAATCGGGGCAACGTTGGGCCAACGGTTGGTATATGGTTGGCCCAACGACTGCTTTCCTACTCTTATCGTTGGCCCTCCATTGGCCCAATGACTGGTTTTCCTTCCTATCGTTGGCCCTCTGTTGGCCCAACAACTGGTTTCCCTTCTTATTGTTGGCTCCCTGTTGGCCCACTGACTGGTTTCCTACAATAAACATTGGCCCTTCGTTGGCCCAATGCCTTGTTTTCATAAAAGAACATAAAATATACTAATTGCTACAATTTATTACTAAATGTTGTTCACATATCATTTTCATCTCTTTGTTGTTGCAACTATTTAGTCAATCTCTTCCTCCGCCCGCCTTCCCTAACCTTGGTATATCTTAGCCACTCCTTCATTGTCCTTCGGCGAACATTGCTCTCCACACTATCTCCTCCAATTAGACATGAATTTGCTGTCTGAAATGAAATAAAAACAAAATGGTGGATTGGTAATGGAAAATACTTTGTTTTCAGGTAAACAAGCCAGAATGAATTTGATTTTTGTAATGAAATTAAAACCATTTAATTATATCAGTGTTTATCAGCTTAAAATATGATATGTGCATAGTTTTACATCTGAATTTATTGTGATAACTGCAAAAAATCTTTGATAAGTTGCAAGTTAGTACAAACTGACAAACTACAATTAGCACTTATTAACTTTAAGCATTGTTAAGCTCATACAATCTGCTCTGAGTATAAATAGGTAATTATGATTGATTATGAGTTATTTGCAAACTTCTGCTTTGTTACTAGACTTTTTAACAGTTACACCACTCGTTTTAGTAGAGTATATACAAAACTTTGTGTAAATTTAATTTGAAGTGTAACTTCGCATTAAACACAAATTACTTTATCCGACTGCAAAAATTGTTTTTATTTCATTTCAAAATACGCCCATCACAAAAGCTTTTGACAGAGATTTGGGCATTATAGATATGCATATAGGAGATATGCTCTGGGCAATATCCGGAAAGTATCTGGATGCTTTAACATCTATAGTGACCTTGCAAATATTATGCATAACAAGATATGTTTGTAAAACATGTATGCCCCCTGTCGGCAGCCAATTAGTCGTGTGGTTAGGTTATTGTGACCGACTTTTGACCTAGTGGCCGAAAAACAACAGCAATAGGGGTTATCTACTGGTCTTGACTATAGTCACTAGGTAATTGTGACTATAAAGGTTGTGTGCAGCAATTTTATGAAAAAGTAGCACAAATCTATCCAAATAATATATGCATAAATTTTATGAATCATGTAGGCCTCCTTAATGACAGCCAATTTGTTATATTACATAAGACCTTGAAATATATATACCAAAAGCATTATTAGTTTGATGAAAAAATCAACAAAGGCAACTTGAGATGTTAAGTGTTGTTGAGTTATTGGTCAGAAACAGTCTTAACTACTAGGTCAATTTGGCCTTTGACCCTTTAATCATTAGAGATTGTCTACTCGCCAAAACCATTGCACCTGTGAAGTCTGAGGGACAACAGCCTTTGGGTTGTCAAGTTATTGGTCAGAAATCGTTTTTACCCTTGACCCTAAAAAAATTAAGGTCATCTCACCATAAGCAATGCATCTGTGAAGCTTGAAGGTAAAGGGTTGTCCAGTTCTTGATAGGAAACCGTTTTGAAATACAAGGTCAATGTGAACTTTGACCCATTGACCCCAAAATAAAAAAGAGCCATCTACTTGACAAGACCTACGAAGTTTAAAGGCCAAAGGCCTATGGCTTATCAAGTTATTGATCGAAAACCGTTTTTAAGCTAATATGACCTTGACCCCAATATCAATAAGGGTCACCTACTGGCCAAGTCCAAATGCACCTACAAAGTTAGTGGGCCAACAGCCCATGGGTTTACAAGTTATTGATCAGAAACCGTTTTACCTACAAGGTCATTGTGACCATGACCTTTGACCTGAAAATCAATAGGGGTCATCTACTGGTCATGAACAATCATCATACCAAGTTTGAAGTTCCTAGGCCTTAGCATTCTTTAGTTTTTGATTGGAAACTGTTTTTACCTACAAGATCAAAGTGATTTTGACCTTTGACCCCAAAATCAATATGGGTCATCTATTGGTTATCAACAATTGAAATACCAAGTTTGAAGTTCCTAGGCCAAAGCGTTCTTGAGTTATTGATCGGAAACCATTTTTACCTACAAGGTCAATGTGACCTTGACCTATGACCCCAAAATCAATAGGGATCGTCTACTGGTCATGAACAATCGTCATACTAAGTTTGAAGTTCCTAGGTCTAAGCGTTCTTAAGTTAATGATCAGAAACTGTTTTTACCTTCAAGGTCAATGTGACCTTGACCTTCGACCCCAAAATCAATAGCAGTCATCAATTGAATGTCATCAATTGAATATGAACAATTATCATACCAAGTTTGATGTTCCTAGGCCTCAGCGTTCTTTATTTATTGATCGGAAACGTTTTTACCTTCAAGGTCTATGTGACCTTGACCTTTTCATCCCTTGATCCAAAAATCAATAGGGGTCATTTACTAGTCATGAACAGTTGTCATACCAAGTTTGAAGTTCCTAGGCCTAACCGTTCTTAAGTAATTGATCGGAAACAGTTTTTACCTTCAAAGTCAATGTGACCTTGACCCGAAAATCTATAGGGGTCATCTACTGATCATGAACAATTATCATACCAAGTTTGAAGTTTCTAGGCCTAAGCGTTCTTTAGTACCGGGGTATTGATCGGAAACCATTTGGTTGACCAACCAACGGACAGTCAAATGCAAGATCATAATTATATTTGTCACACTTGTAGTCATGATAGTTATCATTTGTGTTGCAATCCATCAATTAATGATGACTAAATGGTCCCCACACACAAACTTTGACCTCTCTATGAGACCTTGACTCATGACAATAAACATGTTACTGTGTATACCAAGTTTGAAGTGAAGAGTTCAAATAGTTTATGAGAAAATGGACCTTAATGTCAAGATTAGCTGACGCAAACAAGTGGGTCATGACAATATGTCCACCTTTTTCCTTCCAAGAGCTTAAAAGGGACAACAATGTTGTCAAAATCCTGGACCTTAACAAAAAGGCTAATCAATGCTGATACCAACAGGAGGGTCATGAAAATAGCTTTACTCCCCCACCCACCCCCAAAAAAGCAAAACAAGAATTTGTAACAGAGTTACCAACGTCCCCCGCCTCGGGGAAGTTTTATATGAAGCATAAAATTGTGCAATTTCCTTGACCTTTGACCCAGTGACCTCAAAATCAAAAGGGGTCATCTACTAATCATGTTTAACCACCATGCCAAATATGAAGACTGTGAGCCAAAGGAAACTCAAGTTATTGGGTGGACAAGGAAAACAGGACGGGGAGAAGTATGGACCAACGTTCGGACAGACAAGCTGATTCCAGTATACCCCCCTTACAACTTCGTTGTGCGGGGGTATAACAAGGTTTTTCCATATTTGGGCCAAGTAACCTTGTTTTAGACCCCTAGTCACCCATTTTTAGCTCACCTGAGCATGCTCAGGGTGAGCTTTTAGGATCGTCCGTCCGTCGTCCGTCCATTCACATTTAGTTGTTAACACTCTAGCGGTCGCATTTTTGCCTCAATCATCATCAAACTTGGTCAGGATGCTTATCTAGTCGATAGCTCGGATGAGTTCGAACATGGGTTATCTCGGATGAGAAACTAGGTCACAAGAGCTAAAAATAGAAAAACCTTGTTAACACTCTAGAGGTCACAATTTTGCCTCAATCATCATCAAACTTGGTCAGGATGTTTGTCTAGGTGATAGCTCGGATGAGTTCGAACATGGGTCATCTCGGATGAAAAAGTAGGTCACCGGAGCTAAAAATAGAAAAACCTTGTTAACGCTCTAGCGGTCACATTTTTGCATCAATCATCATCAAACTTGGTCAGGATGCTTATCTAGTTGATAGCTTGGATGAGTTCGAACATGGGTCATCTCGGATGAAAAATTAGGTCACCGGAGCTAAAAATAGAAAAAAACCTTGTTAACACTCTAGCGGTCACATTTTTGCATCAGTCATCATCAAACTTGGTCAAGATGCTTGTCTAGGTGAAAGCTCGGATGAGTTCGAACATGGGTCATCTCGGATGAAAAACTAGGTCACCGGAGCTAAAAATAGAAAAACCATGTTAACACTCTAGCGGTCACATTTTTGCATCAATCATCATCAAACTTGGTCAGGATGCTTATCTAGGTGATAGCTCGAATGAGTTCGAATATGGGTCATCTCGGATGAAAAAATAGGTCACCGGAGCTAAAAATAGAAAAACCTTGTTAACACTCTAGCGGTCACATTTTTGCATCGGTCATCATCAAACTTGGTCAAGATGCTTGTCTAGGTGATAGCTCAGATGAGTTCGAACATGGGTCATCTCGGATGAAAAAGTAGGTCACCGGAGCTAAAAATAGAAAAACCTTGTTAACACTCTAGCGGTCACATTTTTGCATCAGTCATCATCAAACTTGGTCAAGATGCTTGTCTAGGTGAAAGCTCGGATGAGTTCGAACATGGGTCATCTCGGATGAAAAACTAGGTCACCGGAGCTAAAAATAGAAAAACCATGTTAACACTCTAGAGGTCACAATTTTGCCTCAATCATCATCA